TCTCTCTCTCTCTCTCTCTCTCTCTCTCTCTCTCTCTCTCTCTCTCTCTCTAACCGTGCACCTTCACTGAATACGAGAATTGCGAGGGGAAAAGGGGGGGGGGGGGGGAGAAGAGATAGAATAACGGGACATAATCCACGAATATTTCAAGCAAAATAGGAACGTATAAAATCGTCCCTTTAATCTCATGGAGCCAACTCCGTTCCGACGTCGGTTTGATGTGTAAACACAGCTTTGACGGCTGGCTGTCGGACAATGCCTAAAAACAACTGAACTTGAACTCAGATCGGCGAGTGTCAGCTTGTGGCGCCATGCGCCAAGACATTGTGATCCAAAGTTGAGACAGTTTACAGTAACCGTGGCTTTAAAAAAAATGTATTTAAAGTTAACCACCTTGGTGTCAGATTATGAATACAGTTCATTCTCTTCTGGTCTCTTTTTCAAATAATCCAAGTATTCCAAGTCAGTTCAAGCAAGGCGCCAGTTTCTGCAGGGTGTGTGTCATTGTGATTCCAAGGAGAAAATGTTTCCATTGAGATCTCTTGTGGTCATTTTCAAGACAAGAATGTCTGAGATTCTCGTTTTAGCAATGACTGCTTTCTTTCCAAACACGCCAGGTGGACTGTGTCTGTCCTTCATCTGTGCTCGACCTGGTGGACACGGAGACTGGCAGACGCCACGTAGATTTCCCAGTGGAAAATATCTGCTCCGACTGTTCCCTGCTCAGGTGAGTTGTTCACTTGTTTGCTTTGGTCAGTGGGTGGTTGGCGATTGCTCTGGTGTGGTCTGCCCCTTCTTTCCTATTAAACGTCTATCGTCCTGATCTCTTCTCCTTCTTTTTTGTGTTTGTTACTCTCTTGTAACACCTCTAATCTTCGGCACTTACGTATGACCTGGGGGGCTCTCGTGGCCTAGAGGTTAAGGTGTTCTCCTCTCATTCAAAGGTCCCGGGTTCGAATCCGGGTAGCAACCGAAAACATTTTTTCTCTAAAATTGTCTCCTTTCACCTCCTTTCCAGCACTCTAGCAATGTTCTGTCGTCTGCTCCCGTCTCCGCTTTTTGCCCCCACCTCTGGCCGGGCTCCTGACTCTTTCTGCAGACTTTCTACTGCTTCTCCTTGGCTCCTTCTTATTGCTGTCTTTCAGCCACACCGCTGATCTTCTGGTAGGAAAGATCTACACCCAGCCTTCTCGTTCAAGGGTGAAAAATCTTGGCGAACCCGAATGCAAGTTGCACACGTTAAAGATCCCATGGTGGTCTAAAATCGATAACAGTAAGCTTCGGCCGCCACCTGGGAAAAATTCAAAATTTCCTACCCACTGAAAAAGTTTAATGTGTCCAGTGCATTTATATGACCTTATGCAGTTGCGAGCACTGTGAAACCCTTACAAAAAATAATTTTAAAATATGAACTTATTGAGTTGCAAGTGCCGTAAAACACTTTAACTAAACTTGGTTTGGTCGCTCTTTCCTTCCCTTTCGGAAGCCCCGACCGACTTTATTGGTCTGATACAAATCGCGACCTCAGTGCTTTCTTGTCCTATCTCTATTTTTGTAAACATTGAAACTGTGACTTCTGCACTCTTTGTTAGGAACTGTTTTCACTGTTATTACAAATGGAGCTATAGGACAAGAAAGCACTGAGGTCTCCAAATGTTATACACGTATTATTGCAATTCTTGAACTGGAGCTTTTTCTTTTCCCATAATCCAATTCCTCCAATCGTCTCCGCAATTCTTCGGCCCTCTCCTCCCCTCCTTGTCAAATCTTGTTCCCGAAACTTCCTCCGCCCCCACCCCCTTAATCTCTCCTCCAACTGACAGGTCCTTCTGCCACACGTTGTTTCCCTTCTATTTCTGTGTTTCTTGCTTTCCCCCAGCACCCACGGACATTTACCAAATGTCAACCCCACCCCATGTTTGATGATGATGATGATGATGATGATGATGATGATGATGATGATGATGATGATGATATTAATAACTATAATAACTATAATAATAATAATAATAATAATGATAATGATAATAATGATAATGATAGTAATGATAATAATAATGATAATAATGATAATGATGATGATGATAATGATGATAATGATAATGATAATGATGACGACGACAACGACGATTCGGCGGGCCTATGATGAAGTCATTTTCAGGGTAATTTTCCCCCTTTTAAAGGGACAAAACATTTTCATTGTTTTGAAGAAGTAAAGTGTTGACGTTCTGAGTTGTGGTTTTTTGGGTGTTTTTTTGCTTTTCGCAATGGCATCCAACAAACCAGTCTATCGACCTTCCTTTTTAGTTGCAGAAGTTCTAGACGAAATTATGAATGACTGTAACAGTGATGATAATGATTTCAATTGAGTTAGGGGCTCTATGTGACGTTTGTAGTAATAAGAGCAATTTTCCCCGGCACAGCTGTGTAGCTCATAGCCGGCAGTGAAGGGGTTAAAAATAGCTTTGCTAAAAAAATTTAAAAACCCAGATACACTCCAGATACACATACAAATGCATATGCTGTTAAAAATAAATTTCATCTACATTTGTCCTTCCTATAAAAAGTCAATGTAAAGAAAATCTGTATGCATCACGAACATAAACAAATGTCATATCAATATATACCCAATATTTCCTTCATCAACAGAAACAGAGGAAAACTTTTTTTCATCCCCAGGACCTGAGAAGTGTATTCATGAACCGTGAGACGATGAATAACCTCTTTTATTCTCTTACAATAAAAGACAATCAATATTGATGAAAAAGAATGTTCTATAAGGACGTATGTCTTCATTACCAGGGGCCCCTACATCACCAGAGGACCATCTACAGCACCAAAAGATGGCTTTCAGAACTGGAAGACCATCTAGAGAACAGAGGATGGCCCACAGGGACAGAGGACGCCTTCAAGTCCTCCGTGGCGTGTGTGATGAATGATGATCCGCCCCACGACCAGCCTGCAAGATGATGCTCCCGCCAGCTGCCACTGAGGGATGTCAGTCTACCAACCCACAAACCAAGACGACAGCTGCAGAATGTGTCGACCCACCTGGAACACATTAAAAATTTTAACGTTATTCATAATTTACTGTAAAGGCCAATGGTCTTTATAAAATCAAGCATTCTGTTGGGATCAACGACGAAAAACAGCAATTTTTTGCATTTAAAATATTTCCTTCGGGTGTCTCCAAAATCTAGACATTCAGTTAAAATGTGTCTAATTGTAAAATCTGTGTTGCATCCGACACAGAATGGCTTCTCATCTCCCTGAAGGAGGTATTCGTGTGTTAGGGCCATGTGTCCGAGACTTCATCTCTTCTGGAGAGGCTCGAAGGTTTTCGCGGCTCGAAGGTTTTCGCGGACCCAGTTTGGGCTAGGTGTTGTGAAGTTTATTGTTAATTTGTTTCTCCCAATGAGTCTCCCACAGGCTGGAGGTGAAGTTTTTTACTTCATTTTTAAAGTCAGTCTGTGGGAGAGTGTTTGTCGACGATCCCAACAGGAGATCCACTTGCTCATTTCCTCTGATGCCCACATGCCTCTGATGCCCACATGGCTAGGTAGCCATGGAAACACGATACTTTCCCGATTTCAGTCAAAGCGGGTATTTTTTGTTGTAACCTATTTTTGGCTGTATGAGTGTGTCGTTTGTAAGTGAGGTGATACAAGAGTGTGTCGTTTGTAGGTGAGGTGATACAAGAGTGTGTCGTTTGTAGGTGAGGTGATACAAGAGTGTGTCGTTTGTAAGTGAGGTGATACAAGAGTGTGTAGTTTGTAAGTGAGGTGATACAAGAGTGTGTCGTTTGTAAGTGAGGTGATACAAGAGTGTGTAGTTTGTAAGTGAGGTGATGCAAGACAGAGAGTCTGATAGGATAAGGAAAGATGTGTTAGAGGACTTTTCTACGGAGTCCAATGCCATGTCAATTTCAATTTGAACAGACAGCTCGTTAGTGCGATTGGTCTGTAGTTGGATGGGTGTGTGTGGTCTTTGTTTGGTTTGGGTATTGGAATGACAGTGGCAAGACGCCAAGACTCCGAAAAGGAGTGCGACCGCCACATGTCGTTGTACATGTCTAATAGTAATAGAAGTTTAAGTATTTCTTAGGCCTATACCGCACCAAGACAAATTTGTCGTTTACTTACTTTTCTTTACTTTTTCGTCTTCTGTTGCCGTTAAGCATCGAGGGGAGATGCTGTTTTCTATGGTAGCCCAACTCCGCAGATCTTTCTCAGAGTTTCCTTGACGTCCTCGATCCACCTTTTGCGTGGCCTTCCTCTTCCTTTATAGCCTGAGTGCTTGGTGTTGTAGGCTCTTGAGGCTGGCTGGCTGTCGGATGCGACACAAATTTTACCATTAGACACACTTTAACCGAATGTCTAGACTTCGGAGAGACCCGAAGGCAATACTTCAAATGGAAAAATTTGCAAGACATTTTTTTCGTCGTTGGTCCCAACAGAATTTTAGATTTTATAAAGGCCTTTATGGAAAGTTTTTAAGTGTTATTTAGAAAGTTGTTTTAAATTTAAATCTAAAGCCTATTTAGCGTTAAAAATGTTTAGATAGAAATATCAAGCCGAAAAATGAACCGTTGAGAAAAAACAATTTGTTTCGCGCGCTCATATGACCTTATGCAGTTGCTAGCGCGGTAAAACCCCATACTAAACTAAATTGTTGCAGTCTGTATCTTTATCACTGTGGGGTCCCAAGTACTCTTCCCAGCATGATTTCTCCGCCGTCGACTTGCTAGGCCAGTCACGGTTTCACCAGAGCCCCTTTAGCCAGCACCGTTGCGTGGTGACCCGGGTCGGCCTTCATGGCTAGCGTAACGACTCAGTGACATAAAGTCACACCGTACACATCGTACACACCGTACTTCACCCAGACCCAGCTATCCCCTTTAGTCAGACTAAGGCTTATGAGCTGCACATAGACAAATCTGTCTTCCGAATTCAAAATCGTTTTTATACGTTTCTTTCATCTGATTGAAAATATTAGAACATATACAACAGCTCTGTCAATTCCATGTTCGAAATGAAAGTTAATATCAGTCTTAAGACGGGTGCTCTGGTGTGGTTTGCTCCTTCTTTCCTATCAAACATTTATCGTCCTGATCTCCCCTCTTTTTTTTGGTGTTTTTTCCTCCCTTGTAACGCCTCAATTCTTCGGCACTCATATGACCATATTGTATTGCAAGTGCCGTAAAACTAAACTAAGAGTCTTTGTGCGGTACGGCTCAAGTGGAAGATAAATTCTGCGACAAAACTGACTTAACGGTCTAGACTTGTCTAGGGACTGAAGGTAAATGTCGAAGGATCTGGTTGTGGATGTTATCCGGACCCGGGGCTGTATTGCCCAGGTGCCGAGATGCACGACGGTCTAATGTAGGTTTCAGTGTTGTTTGAGTGGAAGTTTAGGTGTTGTTGTTCTCTGTTAGTTTTGAAAGTTTTGGATGGTGGTGTTGTAGTTTGCTTTGGATGAGTTTTTGGCGAATGGTGTCTGTGCATCTACCCAAAATCTTTGTAGTGGTGTTTGGCTGTTGATTTTGGAGATGTATTTTCTGAAATATGTTCTTTTGTTCTCCCTGAGCGTCTACGTGCCTCAGCTCCAACCTTTAAGTAATTAATTTTGTTTTCTATGGTGGTGTTGTCGACAGCTCTTCGATATGCTGCCTTGTTTTTCTTTCCTGCACCATCACAAAATCTTCCGGGTTTTGGAGATGTTTTTGGTATGTATTTGTGGTACCGGGGTGGGACGGGACGGGACGGGGGGAAGGGGACGGGAGAGGTAACTAGTGTTTTTGCGATGTCTACCTGTGTTTCTGCTGCGGTTCCATCTGGCCTCTGGATGTGCCGGATGGTGTCTGTGTCTGTCAATTTTTATAACAATTTTAAAAACTTGATTGAGTGGTGTCTGGCTGTTGATTTTAGAGATGAATTTTCTGTAATATTGTGTTTTGCTCTCTTTTAGAAATTAATTTATTTTTCTGCGGCTCTTCGATAGCCTGCCTTCTTTTTCTTTCCTGCATAATCACACTCCCCAGAGTACCACAAACTCCGGGTTTTAGAGTTTTTGGTATGTGGCACCCGAGTTAGACTCTAGTCGCAGCGGGGTTAGACTCTAGTCGCAGCGGGGTTAGACTCTAGTCGCAGCGGGGTTAGACTCTAGTCGCAGCGGGGTTAGACTCTAGTCGCAGCGGGGTTAGACTCTAGTCGCAGCGGGGTTAGACTCTAGTCGCAGCGGGGTTAGACTCTAGTCGCAGCGGGGTTAGACTCCAGGGAAACGGGGCGGGGAGGGAAACGGGGCG